CCGCTACACACCGACCCCCCCGCTACACACCGTCCCCCCGATACACACCGTCCCCCCCGACTACACACCGACCCCCCCGCTACACACCGACCCCCCCCGCTACACACCGTACATTGGTGTTTATACGGTTATCAATCACAGGCCGTGTTTAAACATTCCCTTCCTTTAAAGTATACGATAATCAAATGGTAGTCGGGCGGACGGGGCGGTAATTTAATCAGTTTGCAGTTGATTTCTTTGCCGCCTTATTAGAAATGATTTTTAACTCAAGACTAATCCTCACTGAACTACACACGGACCAAGACAACAGACGAAAGCGGACTTACTCTGGCGGGGCATCGTGCGATCTTCTCCTCCGTGTCCTTCAGAGCAACGGCGTACTCGTGGACGTCGTCTGACACCACCACCATCTGCAAGGAGAGACACGTCAACGCGGGGGACACTTTACAAAACATGCAGCAACCAGAGTGAGGCAGCGGAGGCGCCAGAAGAAGTGGAGCAACGTCAACGGTACAACTAGAGACCAGATGTCAATGGTACAATTAGAGACCAAAGGAGAACGTCAACGGTACAACTAGAGACCAGACGTCAACGGTACATCTAGAGACCAGAGGAGCAACGTCAACGGTGCAACTAGAGACCAGATGTCAATGGTACAGCTAGAGACCAGAGGAGAACGTCAACGGTACAACTAGAGACCAGACGTCAACGGTACATCTAGAGACCAGAGGAGCAACGTCAACGGTGCAACTAGAGACCAGATGTCAATGGTACAACTAGAGACCACAAGAGCAACGTCAACGGTGCAACTAGAGGCCAGACGTCAACGGTACAACTAGAGACCAGAGGAGCAACGTCAACGGTACAACCAGACCAGAGGAGCAACGTCAACGGTACAACCAGACCAGCAACGTCAACGGTACAACCAGACCAGAGGAGCAACGTCAACGGTACAACTAGACCAGAGGAGCAACGTCAACGGTACAACTAGAGACCAGACGTCAACGGTACATCTAGAGACCAGAGGAGCAACGTCAATGGTGCAACTAGAGACCAGATGTCAATGGTACAACTAGAGACCACAAGAGCAACGTCAACGGTGCAACTAGAGGCCAGACGTCAACGGTACAACTAGAGACCAGACGTCAAAGGTACAACTAGAGACCAGACGAGCAACGTCAACGGTACAACTAGACCAGAGGAGCAACGTCAACGGTACATCTAGAGACCAGAGGAGCAACGTCAATGGTACAACTAGAGACCAGATGTCAACGGTACATCTAGAGACCAGAGGAGCAACGTCAACGGTACAACTAGAGACCAGAGGAGCAACGTCAACGGTACAACTAGAGACAAAGAGAAGTTTGATAAAGGTAAAAAAAAAAAAAAAACACCTTTCAACTGAAGTAAAAACCAGACTCGTCTGCTGAGATGATGACCAATCAAAAAAACTTTATCATATAAAAACCTCCAATACAAAACATCAAACGGCACATTTCCAGGAAGCAACAGAGCGGTCTGATCACAACACAGATATATAAAGGCTCTTGCCGCTTGTATTTTTTAAATTAGAAAATGGACGTGACAATAACAGAGAGGTGAAGAGGTCAAAAACAATCAGATTCACCGGAGCAGAAAGCTGTGAGTCGGAGATGAGATGGAAAATAAAAACATCAACCAATCACAGACAGCGAGGCCGGAACATGCTCGCAACATCAGGCAACATCGGACTTGTGAAAAGCTGGCGATTAGCATTTAGCAATTCACAGGCTAACGGCTACTCTTGATTAGTACGGGGCAGAAGACGTCGGTTTCTTCTCCAGATCAGCAAATAGCATGAGTCTCCATGTGAAGGTCACGTTCTCACATATGAATAATATACTATTAACTTTTTGTGTTCCTCTCCTGGTAGACACTCACTTTACATATATGTGAAGTGAGAGTGAGGAGCGTATATGCGTATATCTCTGTACATGCACGTTCAAAAGTGAGGCCTCCTCGAAGGGTTAATCAGTGACAAACACTTTGGGTTTGAGATGTTTGAGATGTTTGAGATGCGGACTAAAGTCACCTTCCCGAGCTGCTGGTGGACGCTCAGGTTGTACATCATCACGATGCCGTCAACTATCTCCAGCAGGGACTTGTCTGCCATTGGCTGGTTGGGCTCCGCCAGCGGTCGCCCCAGCAACAGGCCGTCGTTACCATGGCTTCCCTCCCACTACAGCTGGAGAGAGAGAGGGGGGCAGAAACAAAAGTCAATGATGAGGGATTTTTATTTTATGTTAATCAGCTGCTCCGGACAATAAGAAAGAAATACTTTAATCCCAGTGAATCCCGACAGGATTCTCTACACAAGTCGGGTTCCTCTCTGGACTCTGACGTTACTCAGCAACACCAACATGAAGCTCACAGTCCACGTGGCGGTTTGACAGCTGCATCGTGGGAAATGCATCGTGAAACTCCCTGTGACGGCGGCGGGTCTGACTCACTGTCCTCCTCGGTCCTCTGCTCCACGGCCAGCGTGCGGACCTTCACCTTCTCCGGCTGCGTGAGGGGTCGCCTGGGGGTCATGAGGCTGACGGCGGCCGTGCTCAGGAAGCGGTTGGCTCGACCCAGAGTGGGGGAGCTCAACCAGGTGGGCCTCGCCAGGGCCCCGCCCATCGCCGCCGCACCAAAGGGCCTCTGCAGGTAAACACAGAATACATCATTTAAATCCTCTTTCATTAATGGAACTGGTGCAGAAGACAACATGTGAGCGCTTCGATCTTCCTGTGGAAAGAAGGTTTGTTGTTTAGCTAAACCTGTTTTTAATGAACCTACTTAGTTGCGTTACGTAGACGACGTGTTCCAATGCTGCACACGCACTTCAGGGACAATAGAGATACATGTCCACATATATTTATAAGAGAAAACGGGAAACCTGAGCTGCTCCGCTCTCCTCGTCCTCGTCCAGGTCGTCCATCGACGTGGCCTGGATCTCTGCCGGGTCGATGATGATGTTGGCTTTACTGGCCAAGTCATCTGGCAGACATTAAAAAAAAGAGACATTTATCACACTAAAAATAATGTTCCCTTTGATCCCAGACAAAAGTACAGCTTCTTAAGAGAAGAACAAACCGACCATGGAGGGAAAAAAAGCAGACGGACGTCACTGAGAAACCGTCTGGTTTCGTCTCCATTAAGATGCTGATTCATCGGTTAGCAGGTCCTGCTTGTGACCATCGCTGGGTCACTCTGAGGATTTATGGACCCGTGTTTGACCTCAGAGATATTAACGTTGACCCGATGAAAAGTCAAGACGACCAGCAGCGGTTCGTCCCTAAGAGACCGTGAATGACGACCCACGTCTCTAGATGAGTGTCCTTAGCGCTACGGCGCCTGCCTCGCTTCCCCCCCATCCCGCCCCTCCCTCACCAATTGGAAAGGCCCTGCCTCGCGTTAAATCATATTGATGGGTCAGCTAATCAATAAGTGAGGTCTCGCTGGGTTAACGGCGGATGACACGACTTCACGAGAGCAGCCGGCGGGAGATTTACTGAGCTGAGCGACGGCGGCTGAGAGCTGCTGCCGGGACACAAACACCGACGAGCTGGATACAAATCAGAGGAGCGAGTTCAGTAAGTGAAACATTTAAAAAAACTGAACAATTAATTAACGGTAACAAATATTAAGAAAAACACAGACTTTAAATTATATTGAATACACAAAAGTGGAAAACGACATAAGCGGAGGTGATGAGACCCAGAGAAAGAACAGATGAGTCTCATCCATTTCTGGTCCTCATGTGCATGATTTTAGTCGCCTGTTTCCGGGGGTTTGTTGACATTTTGAATCTCTTTGTAGTGTTTTGTATCTCTGTACTACAGTAAAGTGACGCTACCGGCTGTTCTATTATTTCCATTTAATGTTGGCCGTTATCACATAACTGATGATTATCCATCGCTTCAAACATAAGGGCCGTAAAAGGTTTGAGTGTTTGAGCCGAGACGCGAAGCTCTACTTCTCTGGGAATAAAGAAAGAAATGAATCTCCTTTGTCAGCGAACGAGCAGCGCGTCGCTCGCCCAGCGGGTCTGCTGAGGGAACATCAGTCACACACCTGCCTCACAATCTGCTGACGCGGCAAAACCAACATTCATCCGGTGCGTTTGTGTTCTTCCTAATTTAATATTTACACAGCTGGCGGCCTCTCGAGTAGCCGCACCGACTCTTGACGAAACCACTACGTGATAAACACGTAGGCTTTAAAGTGCCGCCGCCTAAACGTACTGACTCCTGCTCACACCAGGTTTACGCACTACGAACAGGCAAATAAAGCCCATCACACAGAAAGGTTTAAGTATTCTTTGGGAAAGGGGGCAATAAATAAAGCCGTGTAATACGAAGCCATTGCTCCCTCTAGTGGAGGTCTGAGATCTTCCTCCTCGCTGACTCTGTGGAGCTGAAACCCGTTTCACACTTTCTTTAAAAGATAATGTTCTTTTCCCAATCTATTCCAGATGTGGAGTCAGATCGCTGGTTAATGGTCACAACAAGAAGACCAGCACGCAGTGACCGGGCAGTTACCAGCGTTGTTACTGTGACGGCTCCACATTCACCAAAGCGACAACACAAACAAACAACGACAAACCACGTGGTAATGTTTCAGCATTAACCGGCGAGGGAAGGTCAATATAAACGAGACGCGGGCGCCGTACCGACCTTTGAGGGTCTTCTTCAGGTGGGACAGGAGCCCCCCCAGCCGCTGCAGGTCAAAGTAGTCCACCTTGCCGTTGTAGAAGAGCTGCGGCGGGACGTAGGCCTCTGGACAAAGGCGACAGAGGAGGGAGACGGTGAGGAGTGCTGCAGGGAGCAGCTCGGCGAAGGAAACTGGCCGCTCGTACCTTCGCTGCGGATGCTGCTCGTGCTCTTCCTCATGCCGTCGTCCCAGCTGGCCCTCACCGCCGTGATGAGGCGGTGGAGGAAACACACCATGTACTCCGGAGGGCACAGAGCGGTGGGGTGCTGCACACACAATCCAGAGCGAATAAACCAAAGCTCACAAAGTAAGAATGGAACGAAAAGAGAACCGTCGAGCCAAGTGTGATTACAAGCTTTCTATTAAATGAATTCATTAAAAGTCGTCAGGAGTTCTTACCCCTCTGTTGCTGGCGTTTTCCTGGAGAAACTTCCGGAACTTATTGAGGAAGATGTAGCGAGAAGCTTCCCCCTGAGAGAGACACACGGAGGCGTGAACAGGACGTGAGAGGAACGACCTTCTCACGGTGAGTCCCAGACACGAGGACCAGGAAGACCCTCGGGGTCTGCTGTCAATCACAGCCTGAACATCAACAGCTGGATCAGCAGCACAGCCGCTAAGAGCTGCAATCGTTTTCACTTATTTTCCTCATCGAGAGAGAGATTGAAACATAACTGACAGTATCAACTGAACATACCGTAGTTCTGTCTTTGTTATTGAGCAGCAACTTCAGGATCTGAACCTGCAACTCTTCCACCACTGAGAGGAGATCAGAGAAGAGTTCAGCAGGGCGTCAAAGTACTAATACCGCAGTCAAAGTACCGACACCTCAGTCAAAGTACTCACTTACAAGGCAAAGTGCCGATACCTCAAAGTACAGTAAAAGTAAAGAAAATGATGTATTTGGGAATCAGAAGATCATCAGTGTGTAGTACGTGTATAGTACGTGTATCAGCGTGTAGTATGTGTGTAGTACGTGTATCAGGACAAAGGGAGCGCGCTGGTTGGCGGTCTGACCTTCGATCCTCTTCTTCAGCCTCTGACAGCCTCTCTCGTACGCTCTGCGTCTCAGTCGCTCCTCTGCGCTCTCGTCTTTGGGCTCCCGCTCATCTTTCCCCTGAGAGAACAACGGCTTCAGTCAGTGCTCCCGTCACCTCCGGGTAAAGAACTAAAACTTTCCAGCCAGGAAGGAAACGAGGGACGAGACGTCTACCTCCTTGTCGAAGTGCGTGGGCCACCAGGTGGTCGGGATGAGCTCCTCTAGCCCCGCCTCCTTCACCCTCAGAGGCGTCTTGATGTAAAAAAACACGACTGAACGCAGCACGTCGAACGTGAACTTCTGTCAAGGAGGAATACTGATAGTAAAATGAAGATTTAATACATACATACAGAAAATACTACGTGGTTCAGATTTAAGAATTTGACTACAACCAAACTAAAACAGCCCTTTGTAACTTATCCTACGATTTTAAAGAATACCCACAGTTGAAATATCTCATGTCACGTGAATCTCAGGGGGGGATTAAGGGGATCGCTGACAACTATCCTGCGTAGTAAAGAACAAATCGCACAATAACAGACAGACAGAAGGATATAGGACGTTGTTGAGAAGGTACTTCCTGGACTTCTCATGGTGCAAGATGGCCGTCGTCAAACGCAGGTAGTGGATCTGAGACACAGGAAGGACGTTAGAACACACCCGATCCAACTTGATTCAAAGACAACACGTGGATTGTTACATTTTTTTGTCAAATTGTATATTTAAACGATGTGAAATTGCTCTTGAAAAAAGACTAATACCACAACATAAAACATTGGAATCTGGGTCCCACCTGGAAGCCCAGATCGGGGATGATGGGGGAGAATCTGTAGGCTCTCAGCAGCGACATCATCAGCTGCTTCAGACACTCGTTCACTTCATAGTCCTGCAGAGAGAGAGAGAGAGATTCAAACCAAGGCTGTCGGGTGTAGTTGGTTTTGAGAAGCGGTTCAGGTTGAGTTTCAGGGTTTTTACCTCCATCAGGAGCCAGAAGAGATCCAGAAGCTGCTGTATGAGCTGGTGCTCATCGACGGAACCTCCTCCCTCCAGAATCCCCAACAGGAAGTTCATCAGCACGTCCTCCACCAGGTACACTTTACACTGTGAAGAAAACAACCCTCATTACTTTACCCGGTAAAATATACTGCTCTCGTACTGAGATAATAAAACCAAGCACCAGACCAAAAGGGGAGAAAGTTGAGTCACCATGAGGGGAGCGAAGTGGTTGAAGATGTGAGCCAGGGTGATGAGGACTGTAGCTTCTCCATGAAGCCTCCAGGAGGAGCAGTCCATCTCCAGCAGCCTCTCCTCCTGCAGCCGACACAAACCAACAGGTACGATTCACAATTCATGTCCACGTCACCCGCTCCTGCCTACGTGCAGACCACCCCCTGCTGCCTGCGTGCAGACCTCCCCCCTGCTGCCTGCGTGCAGACCCCCAGCTCCTGCCTGCGTGCAGACCCCCAGCTCCTGCCTGCGTGCAGACCACCCCCTGCTGCCTGCGTGCAGACCACCCCCTGCTGCCTGCGTGCAGACCTCCCCCTGCTGCCTGCGTGCAGACCTCCCCCCTGCTGCCTGCGTGCAGACCACCCGCTCCTGCCTGCGTGCAGACCCCCAGCTCCTGCCTGCGTGCAGACCTCCCCCCCGCTGCCTGCGTGCAGACCTCCCCCCTGCTGCCTGCGTGCAGACCTCCCCCCTGCTGCCTGCGTGCAGACCCCCAGCTCCTGCCTGCGTGCAGACCCCCAGCTCCTGCCTGCGTGCAGACCACCCCCTGCTGCCTGCGTGCAGACCACCCGCTCCTACCTGCGTGTCGATGGAAGTGGAGAGGACGTTCTTGATGTAGCCCAGCAGCTTGTGAGCTTTCACCAGGTCTGCAGTGGGGGGGTTCTGGAGGGGCAGGTAGCCGTCTGCAGGGTACGTGATCCCGCTCGGGTTAAAGACAGAACCCTCACCAGGTGAACAAGTACAAACAAAGTGCATTTCAAATGCACACAAGTGAGATGGAGGCTTGAGGAGGTCCGAACGAGAAGGATATCTGAGGGGCCGGCTGCCAAAGTTGAAAGCCACCGACTCTTTGAAGGACAGGCTGATGGCGGGAAAGTAGGCGACGCCCGGGCCCGTCTTGATGCTGGTGAACGCCGTGCCCAGAGACTGGCCATTCCTGAGGACACACAAACGCACAAAGCGTGAAGGCGCACAACTAAATGCACCTAGATGTGGCTGCTGCTTACATCTTCTAAGGCCTCTACACACCAGAGGCAAGAGGAACAAACACTTGAATATTCCGGGAGGTAAGAAGAGAAGAAGATCTAGTCTGCACAGACTTGTGAAGGCTGAAGGTGTGTTACAGTTTGTAAAGGAGCCTGTGTGTTACTGTTATAAAGTCCTTATGAATATATAAAGCTTGATGGAACAGCAAGCGGAGGAGGGCTGTGTGCTGGATTCTTAGGTTACCTTTGGACTGAGCCACGCTAGCCGTTTCCCCTTGTATTAAGTCTTAATGCTAAGCTAAGCTACCATATTTAGCCGCCATGTGACCCTCCGGAGGGAAACAGAACTGAACGTTGAACTTGCGCGTTAACCGTGGTCACCAGAACTCAACGTACGCGACAGTGACGCTACTCACAAGCAGAACGTGATGGTGCCCTCGTCCAGGTCTATCAAACAGCTGACGATGTCTCCGGCCGCCCACGACTGAGGAGACACAAAGCGCAGTGAGCGCCGAGGGGGCGGAGCCACGCAATACAAACAGATAAAGTCCAGAGAGCTGCATCGGCACCTTCCCGTAGTTAGTCGTCGTCACGTTCCACTTCCTCACTCGGTTCCCATCGTAAGCGTAAGAGTCCGGAGTGTCGCCAACACCCTCCTGAGCGCGCACACACACACGCACGCACGCACGCACGCACACGCACACACACACACACACACACACGCGCACACACACACACACACACACACACACACACACACACACACACACACACACACACACACACACACACACACACACACACACACACACACACACACACACACACACACACACACACAGGTTGTTTCAGGTTACATCCACTAAAACATACTAGCATTGTTCTATCCATCTGAGGTCAACAGATTCTGTGAACATGTGTGAACATGTGTGTGTGTGTGTGTGTGTGTGTGTGTGTGTGCACCTCCTGGTTGAAGCGACAGTTGAGTGTACACCACCCGATCTGCATCAGACCCTGGGAGGAGATCAGCACCTCGTAGGCCCATTTCCCTGCAGACACAATAAGTAATATAGGTTTGTTTTCATTCTACATTTTTAATGTCAACGGGGGGCCAAGCGGGGGTGGGGGGGCGGGGGGAGGGCACGTGAACATCTGTATGCAGGGTTGAGAGGACTCACCTTTGTAAACACATGTGGTGGCTCTGATGGAGCTGAAGTTGCTGTGGCCGATGACCTGAAATCATAAGATAAAAAGAAACACGTTAAATACAGAGATCCGTAGTCGCAGTTACAAAGTTCTGCTTCGCTTATTGTGTATGGACTCAAATTCCTTTCAATGCATCCACAAAATCTCAACTGAGCGTCGGCATCAGGGAAAAGATTCATTCAATTAGTTTCATTTTGGCCCAAAATCACAAATTTGCCTCGTAGGGCTTTACAGTCTGTACGCGACATCCTCGGTCCCCAAACTAATCCGGCACGGTTTACCACAATAAACAAGACCTCACCCCCAGCAGGTCGTCGTCTACGAAGAGGAGTCCTTCAAAGCCGCTGGTGTGATCCAGGACGACGGGCTGAGGGCCGAGGCGGCCTTCGAGCGGCTGATCTGCAGACGCACAGGTTGTAACACCATCAATCACCACTTTATTACAAACTATGTTTCATCCTTAAATTCAGACTCAATCTGAGCTTCTGTCAACTGTAAACTAAAGTTAGTGCGACGTCATCAGTTTCAAAACGAGGATTGTTTGTTGAATCTTATTTTAATTATCTGACTTTACAGATGAATTCTAGCGTGAAACACCTGTAACGAAAATACAGCGCTGCACGTGTCTCCCTCTTGTTTCCAATCGAGAAGTGTTGAAAAGATCGAGGAACTCTTCAAGGAACTCTTCCTCATCGATCCTGAGGTCAAAGGAATCACGGACGAAGGACGGGTCAATAACGTTGAAACATCTTCTAAATAGTTTTAATTACTTGTAACTTTTCCTCTTTTGTGTTACAGCAGATTTTCTTCATTTCTTTCGCCATTTGTTGTTCGTTTTGCCGTCTTTCTGAAGCGCCTTCATCAAAATCACTACGCAGGTGAGGTAGAATGATTAAAGAGCACATCGAGGTGACTCTACCTGCACTCTCCTCGGCGGGTTCTCCCTCGGACAACAATCTCTCCAGGTGAGCGCCGAGCTCCTGGAAACCAAGAGGCTTCCTGTAGGAACAGGAGGAGGGAGAAGGAGATAAAAGACGAAAAGAAAGAAAGGGGAGAAATATGGGATCACCATCCTTTTGTTGAGTCTTTTTAAATACTGCTGTGATCAGATAACCAGAACAATATGCTGTGCATAACATAGCATAGGCCCTTTAAAACAACATGTTTATTTCTTTACATATTTATTATTAAATATTTAGAATTGAGTCTTTTCTTCTTGGGAAAAAGGAGCATCGAAGGGCTTTTATTTGCCATTCTGATCCTGCAAAGATACGTCTCTGCTCCATCGGGTGGACTTTATGGAGCAACTTCTGACTATTCAATCATCAAACACACAGACCTGCATGCGTGAGCACAACTGTGTCATTTATGCTTATTTTAATAACCACATGTGTATCAGCAGATACAGCAGGTATTATAAGACGTGGCTCAGGATCATTGGTAAACAACCAGAACCATAAAACACAGACTAAAGCATCTCCTGCTTTATGGTCTGTTTGACTCTAAATAGACCATCATTCACTAAACGATCATCATGCTGTATTGAAGAAGACTTGAAACTAGAGACTGAGACATAAACTCTTGATTTATTCCTTCAGTAAACATGAGAAGTTTCATTTTCTCGTAGACTTTTATGGGACCAGAGGAGTCGCCGTTATTTTTTACTCATGAGCTCTGCGGTGTTCACACAGGTCAAGATCCTCACAGAAGAGACAAAGACGGCCGGAGGAATGAACACTTGTTTACCCAGTGACTGAGTGTGTGTGTGTGTGTGTGTGTGTCTATGTATAGAGCTGCTGGGGGTAACATGAGTCTGCCCGGCTTAGGGGAAGCCAGGTCAGGGTACAACGAAGGGGCAAGTACACAAATACATGTACTGGGTTTCACCAGCTGTAGTGTTGCATAACCTGAGCCCAGGCTAAATGGTCTCTAAATACCGACCTTCAGGCCTACACGTTGTATTCTGCAGACTTAAGGAAAGTCACACCGTAATCACTTTAACTGTAAAAGACTAAAATAAAAGTGTCCCAGTAGTGAGAGACAATGTGAGATTAAAACACAGCATATGAACGTATTGAGAGGTGACTTGTAAAGTTTAAAGTGCTGCCTGAGGGACTGAGAGGCAGGTGTGGCGTTACCTGGGGGCCGGGGCAGGAGTCTGTTTGGTGCAGGGAAACACGTGGTGCAGGTAGTCACTCAGCAACTTCTCATTCACGATACCTGACAGAGAGAGAGACAGGTGAGACAGGATCTCACCTGTGCCTGAATCCGGTTTGGTGAGACACACATCCATAGCATGTCGTCGTCGTACCTGTGGCTTTGGGTTTGTCGGTGTCTGAAGCCAGCCTGTAGTTGCGGCGGGTCAGAGCGGTTCCTCCTCCCTTGGAGCTCATACTGACCGACAGGAGTCACCTGGTCGAACACCTGCAGCGGGACGGTTCCGTTACTGCGGATACCTGAAGCCAATAATCCTCCTTCCTCAGCGCACACACGGCCGACTCAACAGCAGCTCGTTGCTTTTCTAACGTCGCGTCGCCGTCACTGCTGCTCTCGGTACACAAGCCGAAGTTAAAAGGACGCGACGTCTTGACTTCACTCCGTGAAGCTGCCACGGGTCCCCGGTCCAGCCAGCCGGCTCACCGCAGGGAGCGAACTTTGGCTCTAATTTGGAGCGTAACACGGAACATTTAGTAGCCAGACCAGCCACGAAGAATCACGGATTACGAAGAAGCCGCAGTGTGCTTCGTGTTAGCCCGCCGGCTAGCGGCGCAGCGACCGAAACTCACTGTTTGGCTAAGCAGCAGCTAGCAGCTAGCAGCTAACGGCTAGCAGCCAACAGCTAGCGGCTAGCTGAGTGACCGCGACGAGCTGACAGCGACACCCACCTGCCTCTTCCTCCCGTCCCGGTAACGATCCCCCCCGCGGCGGCCTTCCGCTGCCGTGAGTTCAGAGGAGAGGAGCTGTTGTTGTTGTTGTTGTTGTTGTCTGGGTGACGTTAGCTGTCGGGAGAAGGGTTTCTACCACAACACTCAACGCCTCTCGAGCTACGGCGCGCCGGTCGGGACAAAATGAGAAGCGCTGCTCTGGCGACAAAAAGCGAAGGCAAAAACACGAGCGATCCAAGGGTGGGATAATTACTTATTCCTTTGTAATAAAACCAAATATTATTACAGTTGGGAAAGTTCAAATAAACGTCTTCGTTAGAGGACAGAGAGTTTATGATCTTTTGCTTTTAGAAAAGCTGATAGTGATTTGTGAAGCAGGATCAGGATATTTTCCCAAGGAACTCATGTTGTAAAGTTGTATTGCTTAAGTGTTAACAAAGTGTTCTCTTCCATCTCCTTCAATCATGAATGGCAATGCTCTCTCTCTCTCTCTCTCTCTCTGATGTGGAGGTGACCAGTGAGAGCAGATCCTCCTGAGGGAGCAGCACAGATGTCTGTGACCTGGGCACCACCCTGGGATCAGGGCCAAATGTAGTACGGAGAATGGTTCAGCGAGTATGAACGCCTCAATACGCACTTCAGCTGAGGGATGGAGTCATGAGATAACGATATCCAGTCCGTCACACTGAGTCTGCGTGGTCGCATTGGACTAATACGAGTGCAATTTCTGTCTCTAGGCTTGTTTTAAAGCACCTTTTAATGAAGCCACCCGGAGATACGGCCATAATAAAACTGATGGAAACCAAGAAGGGATTAGAAGCTGAGAAACAAACAAAAACAACCCAAATAAAGATAGTAATTTCATATTTATTGTTAAAACTAACTATCCCATTTCACTTTTTCGAAGGCAGGCGCGTTCTGTTAATAGAATTATTCTGGACAATCTTTTTTTATTCATAGTTTGATAAAAGACAAACCATTAAATTGAAAACTTTTTCAGCACTGTAAAAGTGCAAAGTGACATTTCATGTAACAGTGAAAATCACAGCAGCTTATATATATATATGTAAGTCATCTGCATTAAATCTTCTAAGACACTTCCTCAGCTGTTGAATTAAATTGAACATTTCTTTAATGATCCAGCTTGTTGACTCGTTGTCACATTTGGCTGCAGCACAAAAATCAAACAAACAAAAGTTGGACAAACAAAGTGTTTCCCACCCGCTAACATTAGTTAGATTACAGCAACAAATATGAGACACAACAAAGTAAAACCTGTTATGTTCAGTTAGTGACCTAAATGTCATTGGGGATGCAACAGTTATCTAGATTCTAATTATCAAGAGTTCAATTATTCGATTTTCAAATGTTTTGGACCAACAGTTCAACACAAAGACATCTGGTTTGTTTTGGTAGAAAAGTAAATCATTTATAGTATTTATAATTCAAAAGATGGATTATTATTTATCCATCAGCAAAAATATGATTTTAAATTAGTAAAACACAAATTTGCGTTGGGCAAATATGTGTATTCATGAGGAGACACTTTGTCTCACAAACATCATTGGACGGCAATTAACCAACAAAGCAGGAGCTCCGGATGGACGGACGAAGACTCCTCAGACACTCTGTTGTTCAATCCGCTCCACGCGTCTCACAGGAAGTCCCCTTGTTGTTGTGGGGGAGGGGCCTCAGACCGGCCCCGCCCACTCAGCCCATGTAGGGGTACTTCCAGTCTGTGAGGGGGGCGTAGGTCTGCTTCACCACCTGCGGAGACGTCCACCTCAGGACGTAGTGTTGACCTCCGGGTTTGTCGTTGGTTCCTTCGATGTGGAGGAAAGTTTGTTTGCACTTTACTGTTTGTATGAAGTCTGACGTGTGCGACATTAAAAGAAACAAGGCATCTAGAAGAAATCTGTCCTCATGAACTGGAAATCAAGACTTTAAAATCGGTATCACTCTTTAGAAGAAAAAAAAATCTGCTAATCAAACTCACAAATGGAAAAATGACCCGGCTCAATGAAACATAAATAAACACGTAAATAAACAGAGTGACTTCCATCTGTTAATAAATAAACTAGACTCATTCTGCCCGTCCAGCATCCACAATAAAAATACACACCATCATTTTCACACACAAACATGGTGCAGCCAAATCAGTTCATTTAATATGTTTATTAGTCCATTTTTATTCAACACTACTAATGACTACTGTAATAAGTATTATCGATAAATCCATCCATCTTCCCACTAAAAGAAGGAGAGCTTAAGAACTGAAGCAGCGCTCACCTGAAGCTCTGGCGCCCCCGAACGGCTGCTGAGCGACGATGGATCCGGTGGATTTATCGTTGACGTAGTAGTTCCCCGCAGCGTTTCTCAAGACTTTAGCGGCCTCGTCGATCACATTCCTGCACAGACACAAACTCTGTATGAAGGAATCGGGCCTGTTTTTCAGATAATAATTGATGGTCTTCTTAGTGGCTACAGGGAGGAACTGCTCTTCTAAATGTTCACGCGTTCACATTTAAAAGTGTGCTGGATCAGCTGCTGCTCTTTCTGTACCGGTTATAAACTGATTACTTAGAAACCAAAGCGAACAACGCTGAGGATTCTCAGGCAGGTTCTGCACCGGCTTTTTGGTCCGGCCTGAGCAGAGGCTGAGACGTGTGTGTGTGTGTCTCACTTGTCCTGAGCGAACACGGCTCCTGTCAGAGCGTAGGGGGACGTGCTGTCAATCAGCTGCAGCACCTCTTTGTAGTTCTTCTCCGGATACACATAAACCGCGAGAACAGGACCGAAGATCTCCTGCAGGACACAAAGGATGAATGAATGATTGTTTGTTTGTCATGTTTCCTGTGTGTGCGTGTGTGTGGGTGTGTGTGTGTGTGTGCGTACCTCGCTCATGATGGCGTCCCGCGGGTCCGTGGTCTCGATGATGGTCGGCTCCACAAAGTAACCCTTGCTGTCGTCATAGTTACCGCCGGCGAGGACTTTCAGAGTGGAGGAGGCCTTGGCGCGGTCGAGCCACTTCTTAATCCGAGCAAACGACTGCGGGAGGAAGTGCGACAAACATCAGAGGACAGAAGAGAGGAGCGTATCTGCAAATGACGGTTGGAGGAAGCTCCACCTTGTTGTCGATCACGGCCGAGAAGAAGGTGCTGAAGTCTTCGACGGGCTGAAGGACACAAACCATGTTTGTTCATTTATCATCACATCGCTCGGCGCCAAGTACATTGGTGGTACTGTAGAGGTACTCACGTCTCCCACTTTGAGCTGCCGGTGGATGTCCAGCAGCTGATCCCTGATCTGCGGCCACAAGCTGTCCGGTACGTACATCCTGGAGCAGGCCGAACACTTCTGACCTCCGTACTCGAAGGCCGAGCGGACGGTTCCCTTCACCACGCTCTCCACATGCGCCGACGTGTGCACGAAGTGGAAGTTCTTCCCGCCGCACTCTGAAAAGGTCCACTTAACACTCACGTTGTGTCACGTGCTTTTTGCACTGATCTGGAGTCAGTGTGGGTGCACATCTGGTTATTAGTGTCCCTTCTAATCACTTGTCTGTCTTATTTGACAGACAGAAGAGGATTCGCCCAAATGTTCAATCAAATAGGACATTGTGAGAAAGAGAAGATCCAATGAGGTTCTGCTCACCTCCTGCCAGGCGAGGGAAGTTCCTGTAGGAGTCCAGGTTCTGAGCGACCTGCTTCCAGAGATGCCTGAATGTCCTAAAGAAAAAGAAACAACGTCAACAGATTCAATCGAAGCGGCCGTTGCCTGGCAACGCAATAGCTGCTTCCGTTCGTGGTCAAGAAACGGCCGCCCGAATGGCGAGGGACACCTGAAGCGTGTTCGCAAGTTTCAAATGAATAGAACCCGACGGCGCTCTGCTCACGGGACGCTGCCGGTGAAGTTGACGCCCGCCAGGTGCTCAGAGGACGTGATTGCGTCTCCGAACACGGGGCCGTCCGCCGGGAGGAACTGGACGATGTTGGGCGGCAGGCCGCACTCCCTCAGCACCTTGTAGACGGCGTAGCTGGCGGACATGGCGGTGTCGCTGGGCTTCCACAGCACCACGTTACCCTGACAGACGACGAGGGAAATGCGTTTGTTCACATCGATCTTCCAAAAGATGGTGGAGGACGTCTTCCTGCTCGTTCACACTCACCATCAGAGCTGGCGTTCCCGCCAGGTTTCCACCAATAGCAGTGAAGTTAAAAGGGGCCACGGCCGCTACAAAGCCCTGGGGAGGAGGAGGGGGGGGCATTATTACCTGCGGTTCTGAAATACAAATGAATCTCGGGCCTCTGCTCACCTCCAGGCCTCGGTACAGCATGGTGTTGGTGCTGCCCTCGGCGTCCAGCGGCTGCTGGTCCTGCAGCTCCACGGCGTGTTTGGCGTTAAATCTGAAGAAGTCGATGAGCTCCGCAGCGGCGTCGATCTCCGCCTGCACCACCGTCTTACCCTGAGGCCCGAAAGACGAGTAAACTGTCAAACACCCACGGGTTGTAAATGTGGCTTTTATTGTGAAGGCGCGGCAGCCTTAAGTTATTTTATTAGTATAAGCAAGTGTATTTAGTTTGAGTAATCACCCACATTACTATATTTTATATTTCTCCCGTACCTGGCCGATCATGGTCTTGGCGAGCACCTCTGCTCTCTTGGGTCCGCTGATGACGTCGGCGGCCTTGAAGAGGACCTGGGCTCGGTCCTGGACGGGCTTCAGGTCCCACTCTCTCCTCGCCGCCACGGACGCCAGGATGGCTCTGTTGATCAGCGCCTGAAGGAGAACGGCTCGCCGATCAATTACCATGGCACGAAGCTAGAGCAACGCATAGAACATCCAACGTCGCACCGTGCCATGAGAAGGTCGGGGGAAAAGTCTGCGTTAGCTAAGAGGAATTAGGGCGGAGCCTGTAGGTTTGTCATTTCATTTCGCTCTCAGGAGGCGGTTTGGTTCACCACTAAAGGGTTTTCACCAGCACTCTGTCGCTCAGCTCTCCGGGGTATTTTACCCAAAGTTCATCAGCAGCTAAGAAAACAAAAAGCACCTGATGCAGATGCAAGAGATTCAAATAACACGGCCGACTTCCAACAGTTTGAAAGAAAGGACTTTTAAAAGCATCAAGCGCACTGTTGACTTGTACTACTAAGAAGCTTAATCATTTTACGTTTGCTATAATTAAAAAATTAAAGGCTGTTTACATTGTGTGAGAATAGACCAACGACAACGATGAATACGGCTCAGTACTTTCCAACATCTGCAACACGTTTATTACAACTTACCTTGTCAGCATAGCAGAACTTTGCCACTTTATGGGAGTGATTGAACGGCTATGAAAAGAAACAAAGAAGGTCAGTGAGGACAGAATATTCTCTCTCTCCTTCTGTGTGACTGCTGATCTTTCCTGTTTTAGTTTTTTATTCCATAACCCGCTGACACGCCAGCACCGGGTCCCTGAACCCATCGGTCCCCCTTGTGGGCCCAAGGTCCCCAGCTTTAGCGGTAGAAGACGTTGCCAGCAGGGGGGGGCGGATCTGTTGACTCACAGAAAGCTGATATCTGACGTCCTTGGTCCACACGTGTTCGTCTCCGACCACGCACGGGATCTCCTCCGTCGTCCCCTTCAGACCGGCCAGGGCCTGAGAACACACGCCACAGGTTGTTGTGTTAACTTTGTGAAGAGTGAGTCTTTTGTTTCGGGCGAACGCGTGCGACGCCGCCAAACCTTCAGCAGCGCTTTTCTTTCGGCGCTGCCCTCTGCGAACCCGAGGATCGGCTCGTTCTTCACCTCCACCGCTGCCCGAGGGAACGTTTTGAACCTCCGAGAAAAAGGAGACGACAACCATCAACAGACTGAATCGAGTAGAAACAGGTCTGTGGTTTATCCACAGTTTTAAACAGCTGTTCTTTTAGTAGATTGAGCTCCTGGTTTGACACAATTACATGAAATGAGTCAAATTGGCTTTGAGTCCTTTTCTGCTTCTCTGACAACATTTACTGGAATTCAATTCGCTGGTTTTCGTCTCACAAAACTGGATTTTGTGCTTTTCTTCTCATCTTCATGGATACCAGAACAAATATATTTCTGTGTACCGAGTTGTGTGATATGTTGAGTTAGTCAGACAACCCAATGGATTTAAAAAGATGTGTAGTTGGACTTTACTGAGACTGTTTGACTCCAGTTTACCGCCTGTTTTCTCTTTCGTGTATGATTAACTAACGCGTGTGAACCTTCTGAACTGAAGGTCAGAGGAGGTCCTCATGCAGACGATGTTCCCTGCAACTAAAACCCGGATCTGAACAGCCTGGCGGCCGAGGGAGGAAGAGGAGGATGAGGAGGAGCAGCAGAATATGAAGTGTTTGTTCAGGCAGAGCTTCAACTGAAACAAAGCGTCACCACATCAAATCCCAGAAACACGGAGGATTAAAAACCAGTATATCACGCAGACGCGTTACGTCACATTAGCGGCTTTGACAACAAAAATAGAGCAAATAGATTGTTAGAAATGAACTGCTCTCCTCTTAAGGTGGCTACTTTAGAGCTAAAGTAAAGTAGCCACTTTAGCTACTTTGACATTAGCTGCCTCCCACCGGAGCGCTTTAAAGACTATTGTTACATAACGTGAACTAAAACTAAACCAAGCCTTCTCACACTGCGCCTCGAAGGCGTTAATCCGCGTGTTTGGGAAGTAGGAAGTTTCGTGAGTGTTTAGGGAACAGTCGCGTGCTACAAGTTTAGCTTTAAGCTAGCTGTCATCGGGTCGCTGCCGAGGCGAAGGAGTCTCGTGTGTCGGTGCCTACCCCCTCAAAGACCGGCTCACAGCCGCCCTCCCGCGCAGCATCTTTCTCCCCAACGTCAAAACAAACGTAGAGGCGCAGGCGAGTGGAAGCAGCCCGGGGTAAACCTGATCAGGGATCGATTCCCGGACTGATACAGGTCACACTGTACCAACCACCGAGTTACCAAGGTGTAAAAATACAACTTCTCCGAAGACGACTGCATGTCCCGCCCTCCTCTGCCTCTGATTGGCTACTACACACCGCCTTTGTTGAATCGATTGGATAGGTTTGGGCAAAGGGAATGAGATTGGCTAATATTACTAGAGTGAGCCAATCAGAGTGGGAGTAGGGCGGGCCGAGTGGATCGTGTTATATTATAGAAACACTACTGGATGAAAAGTTTATATTTAAATGCAATATTCCCTCTAACTGTTATCCAATTAATTTAGTTGATAGTTTCATCGATTAACGAACATGTGAGATTATTTTAGGGAAAATGTACAGTAACTTTTAGGAAAAGACGTCGTCTTCCAGGGGCGGGTCCTGACTGGCCAATCAGAGGACAAGTAAAACGCCCTCAGCCAATCACAGGCCACGCGTTAAAGGTCCACTTCCGAACGGCCTCTTGAACTTTCGCTCTCGTCTCCACTGACTTCACTCATCTCTCTTCTGCATCCTCTCAGCAGGGACCTGGTTAATGCGTTCCGACATTGGGACCAGCAGTCCGCATAGGAGAAGAACTTTGTAGAAGCAACCAATGATGAACGTTAAAGGGTACCTCTCATTTTTATGCCTTATTATTATTATACTTATAATGATCAATATTTGTTTATTCCTCAGGGTTTTGTTCTTGTTTTTTATATATATCTGTATTTGTAAGTCATGGAGCCAATAATGATCTGTCGTGACAAAGAATGACCATCAGAATGAGTCGAAAATGTCTGACAGAAAGATATTTTGTCACAGCTCTGATCTCAAGATACATTCTTGATATATATTATATACATAATGTATTCAAGAAAAACATGTTTAACATGTGGTGGAAATTTGTGGATAATGTCCACAAAAAAATGTCTTTAATACAAACTGGCATATAGAAACCATCAACCATCATGTTTTGACAGACGGAAGGAAAGACAACAAACACGCGGGTTCCAGCTGTGAACACACTGTGTCCTAGTTTAGCTCAGAGTTCCGCGTGCACGAGATCAATTCTCCCCCAACATAAATTATAACCCACTCTTCAGTTTTCCTTGCAAGCTGGCTTGGTTGGGAATGTTCACAGCGAGAAGACGACGTCCCTGTGACTGCCATGAACTGCACGTGCAGTAGGAAGCACTTACTGGTATTTTAAATTATATTGCTTACATACAAGTCATATATATTCTATTAATTCTTCTACTAGTATGATCACAAACCTACATGCACAAAGGTGCAGAAAGACATTTATAAGTGTTTGTTACACTTTATTCCAATCTACAGAGAATTGAAATACACAAACAAGGACACAATTCAAAGCTGAAAAACAATAGTTTTATCCATATAGGAATCCATGTATTTATTAGATGATTTATTAGTTCAACTTTTCATAATCAGAGATTGGGCCAAAATATACTGGTGGGCTATTCGATAAATTTGCACTACAAGTTTTCAACAGCAGACGTCATCATAGAGTTTGCGATGCATTGAATGAATGAACCTTTTTCCAATACGATTGGCTGGAAAGCTTCACTGGTTCAGAAAGCTTCACTTTATCACACTGATCTTCAGAGGTGAGATCTTCACTTTATGTCCTGTGCCAATGAATGGAAACATCCTCTCAGTGAAGGTGTGTGTGAAGGTGTGTATGTGTGTGTTAGCATCAGGATCAAAGAAACGCAGCTTCCCTCTGTTCCAGTCCAGATGCACTCTGATCCTCTGAGGCTTCTTCTTCACAGAGAGAACAGTGGCTAGAGCTGGTGGTGACCATGCACGGTATTTATCTTTACAGAACCCTATTCCCAATATCCCAGACAGTACGGTTCCTTTCCTCTGGACAGACTCTGCTGACACACCCAGATACCAGCCTCTACCGTCTCCTACTTCAACATCCCAGCTGTGAGTCCCTGAGTTAAATCCCCCAGAGCCCAGAACATACCAGCGTTCCTCAAACCTCTCTGGATTATCAGGAAGCTTCTGTATCTCTCCTCCTCTCACGCTGGTCAGATCTTCAGACAGGATGAGTCCTGGATGAGCAGTGTTTGGGTCCAGAACCACAGGAGTGTAGGAGACCATCTTCTTCATCTTGCTCCAGATGTTGTAGGTCAGGTTGCCCAGGTGTTTGGCCTGGTCTATCAGAACTCCTGATGGCAGCTGGTGGTCCTCCAGCAGGGGGCGCTGCTGGACTCTTTCCACTGCAGCCTTGTAGTGGTTCAGGAAGGAGACGTCTTCAGCTCTCAGCTGCTCCTCTGTGGCTCTGACTGTGTCTGAAAGAGCTGCTATCTCTCTGCTCAGAGGCTCCATCTTCTCCTCCATCATCTGACTCTTCTGCTCCTCTTCCTCCCTCAGAGCAGAGATCCTGGCCTCCTCTTCCTCCTTTAGAAACCGGTGAAGCTTCTTAAACTGATCCTGAATCAGCCTCTCTGTGTCTCGGGCCTGGACCTTCATGTATGCTGCTGTTTGATCACACGTCACTTTAACTTGTTCAAGGAGCTTTAACTTCTCCTTTAAGGCCTCCAGAGGTTCCTGAAGGTTCTTCTTGTGTTCTACAGCAGCTTCATCGATGGGTCTGAATCTGTGGTTGGTGTGTTTCTGTGAATCTCTGCAGACGAGACACACTGGCTGCAGATGGTCCAGACAGAAGAGTCTGAGCTTCTCAGAGTGCAGACTGCAGAGAGTCTCTGAAGCTCTCTCCAGTAAGAAGGCCTCACACAGGTTCTTTAACACCAGGTTACAAGGTGGATGTGACCCTGAAGATGTTGTCCTACAAACTGGACACTCCTGAGCTTGTTTCTCTCTCCACCAGCTCTTCAGACAGACTTTACAGAAGCTGTGGCTACATGACAGAACAACAGGGTTCTTGAAGACTTCATGACAGACCGGACAGAGGAGCTCCTCCTCGGATCTGGAAGCCATTTGGTCTGTGAATCTGAAAGCACAGCAGACATCTCGTTAAAACAGGGAGTCAGTTTTGTTGCTGCATGAAGGTCCCTCAGTTACTTCCACCGTGAGTCCTTCAGTCTGTGTACCTTTTGATAGTTTGTTTTACCGTTTAACCGATAAAACGGAAATACCAGAATTTTCCTGTTTTAAACCAAAAACAAGAAAGCGGAAATGGGCGGCCATTATCCCGTTTTTGTCGTCAAAACCAACAAAAAAGGTATTTTTCGTAAAACCCCTCTTGGTTTTTATAAAACTACTCTATAAAACAAAACTAAGCTAAACCGGAAGTATGTACAATTTCACAGTAAAAGTCAACGCAGTGACAAACAGAGGAACTGGGCAGCCATTTTCCCGTCATTGTTGTCAACATTACATTGTGATCAACAAATAATCCCTCCGAATCTGCGACCAAAAACCACTTTGATTAAACTATATTATTAACTATATTGTATTAAACAGTGCACCGATTAATGAGTATCGCTGTGTACATGGATGACTGAAAGTACATCTGGGTGTAGTCACCTACTGGTGCTAACACCTCCCGTAGGACCAGGATTATTTATTATATTGATGAATTAACTTTTCTCCTAATGTTACCTAATGTTACCCTAGCATACCAACGTCCCATCGCGACTCTTACTGTGAAAAGTTACACTTCCGGTTTAGCAGCTACGCCTTTCGTTTTATCGTTTTTTGGTTCTAAACGAAAAAAAACGGCCACCCACTTCCGTTTTTGATTTAGAACGAAAAAACGCGAAAGCAGTGGCACTTACGTATTTTCGTTTTATGGTTTTCACGGTAAAAGGAACTATCAAAAAGTGCACGGACCGTTTCCCCGTTAAAACGAAACAACGATTGGAATTTCGGTGTAATCGTTTAAAGTTTTTGTAATGAATCGTACCGCGAGTCTCTCCTCCCGGAGAACCGAACAAGGAGCCTGTCCCGCACGCTGTCCCCCGCGCTGTGTCTCACAGCCCGCATACGTCACTTCCGCTGCGAATCGGCTACAACTCGCCTGTCCCAATCCGTCGGCTGCTCCAGCATATCCCAGCATGCAGCGCGGCACATCACTAATTCAGGCGGGTCGACAGCGCGGAAGAGTTCACTTTGAAATGCAACGTAATAGAATACACTCGAATATCTACCGATAGGAATGTTATAATATTTAACATCACACGTTAGTTTAGGACATCGCTTAAGTCACGTGACGTTGGTAACCGATGTTTGTGTTTTTAAATACACATAAGACGCTAGAACAAACTGCTCCATGTTATAACGTTACCCAGCGAGTATTGATTTTGATTGAAGAGACGTTGAAAATTGGTTTAAAAGTGAAAAAACGTTCACATTTAGACCACATTTCAGCGTGATTTTTCATACGGCGACGCTCGGGAGCTCTGTGCTAATCTTTCATCCTCTTCTTTGTGCCATATATCTTTTATTGTAGAGGTTTAAAAAGAAACTACGTCCACACGTGTAAGTTTACCACCACCAGTTTACGATATTATGAATAACGTTAAAAAACGGGTCCAAACGTGAACGTCTTTTCGACGTTTATGATTGTGATCAATCCACGTGATGTTTAGGGCTCATTTGCTAGCATAGTTAGATGTTAGTATACATCTTGTAATGTCATGTATTTATTACTTCCATCATGAATCCATAAAGACCTTTCATTCTTTTATGGAGTGTTTTGGGAGGTTCTGCGCACGCACAATGATCTCATTGTAGAAGGACCGCCACGTTCTTTACCCTGAGGCACATACACGTCACAGACTTCACATCCCCTTTCTCCCCTCTGGACTTCTTGCAATAGAACACAAATAGACTTTTCCCCACAACGTGCATTGTGCTGGTTTTCACGGCCTTTGAGCCACATTACACGTTCATCTGGTAATAACATTAACTTAGAAACATTAACAGAAACAAATGTTTCTTGTTAATGAATCAAGCTATTTTTCTCTTCCAGTTGTTGGACTCAACATCAGCCCGTTTCCTCGGCGCTGATAGAGTGCAGCTTAGTGAACTAAGTAAATGGACTTAGTTCACTAAGCTGCACTAGATCATGTGCAGGGCTCGACATTAACATTTTTGCTCACCTGCCACTGTGGTTTTAACTAGACACTCAGCAATTTCATCCACCACACTTTTTTGGGGGGGGGATTTAGTTTAATTAAAGTCGACTACGGTTTGCTACAACTTGAAGACTTGAACTAGATTTCCAATCCTTTCAAATGTAAATGACCATCGTAAACATCCAAATCAAGACTACATAGAATGTATACAGTCACCTGTACATATAAAGCTCCTTTATATGAAAACACAAGACAAAGACAAAACGAGTAGCTCATTGCGTAAAACCGGTGCAGCTACTTCGTTGTCTTTGTCCGTTTAGTCGCTTGTGGCCAGTGGAAACTTCGTGGTCCTTTATTGTTTGAGCGAACCTCCTGCAGGTGGACCGACCGCCTCCACCGTCACGCGCGCTCGCGCGTCTACGTTGCTTAGTAACGCGCGTACGGTGGCCGAGATTTTTACTTTTCAATCCAACATGTCTTCTGTCCGGAGTTTCCTCATCTTTGAACACACTAGCCCGGCAGATGATCGCGTCACATTTCTAGCGTACAAACGTTCTATTGCGTTGACCTTTACTCTGAAAATCTACGTGCCGTCGTTTCCGGTCTTCGCCTTAAAACGATGGTAATTGTTCAAACAAGTTTTGTCGTGAAGGTAAATCTTACCGCGTGTCCGCCCGAGAGTCTGTCCTCCCTGAGAACTGTGGTTTCCTCCTTCTTCTTCTTCTTCTTCTTCTTCTTCTTCTTCTTCTTCTTTTTATGGCGGTTGGCAAACAACTTTCGGGTGCATTACCGCCACCCACTAATCTGGAGTGTGGATTTACGGAAATTAAACCTCTACTAGAACTAAAACAAAACAAAAAAATTCTCAAATTCAATTCATTAGTCTTGTATTCTCTAAATATGCCAACAGCAGTTCCCAACACTTGTCCCAAAGCCCTTCTTCAGTACATCGCTTATATTTGCCTCTCCCAGCTCTCTGAGCCCCTTTCTCAGGACTTCTCCCTCTGCCTCGTACCTCTGACATGCCATCAAAACCTGGTCCACAGTTTCCTCTTCTTGACAGTATTCGCACCTTCCATTTCGATGTTTCCCAACCACATAGAGGAAACTGTTAAGACCAGTATGGCCATTTCTTAGCCGTGTCATTACCCTCTCCTCTTTTCAATTTCGTCCACCAGCTACACTCCGAACCAATGGTTTGTTTTTAACAGATACTTCCCTTTGCTCCCTTTGTTCCATTCATTCTGCCATATCGTTAATCACCCCTTTAGCTTCTGCCTTACTCATCTTTATATCGGTCGGGTGAGGTGGGGGGGGGCACCCTTACCAGATGCCCAAACCATCTCATCTGGCTCCTTTCCACTAGATACCTGAGCTTCTCACCTGTCTCTAAGGGAGGCCCCGCCCCCTCCTGAGGAAACACGTCCAGGCCTCATGTTGGTGTGACCCAGTTCTTTGGGTCATGACCTTCCACTTCCTTCATGCAGGAAGGAAGAATGAGCGATAGGTCGAGGTCGCTGCCTTCCGGCTCATCTCTCTGTTCGTAGCATCGAATGTGCTCTGTCTGTTTGAAACAATAAAGAAAGGAACATTTTTACCAAAATGAACCTTAATCACAGTCAGTTCTGATAATCAGGTTTGTTTTTCCTTCAGGGGACAATATCTCTTTATCAATCTTTATTCTTCCCACAAAAAAACCTCTCAAAGAAAAGCTCCGGATGTGCGATATGTAGGCAACATATGTGTATGTTGGCTACTTGTGTTTCTTAGGGGGGGGGGCGTCATGGATTCCTGTTCAAAACTTATTTTCCCATGTTATCACATATTCTCCTGAGTGAGAGGGGTGGGGGGGTCTCTCAGTGTGTGTGTGTGTGTGTGTGTGTGTGTTTGGGGGGCCTAAATGTGTTCAATTGTCTTTGATTAACTAGATTAGATCTTTGTTTCTTTTAGTCTCAGTTTTGTCTGAACTGAGGCAGAACCCTCAAAAAGGTCTGAATGTGTATTTCAAAATAAACATTTAATCTGATTAAATATTAAAACGAACAACGAGCAGCCGTCTTCATTCTCCATGTGTCCTCTGATGGTCGTTGTTTAGTTGTTACCTGCATGAGAACTGACCTGGTGTCAGTGTTTATCTGCCCTTTTAGGAGCCCCTCATCAGGCTCTCCCTCTCTCTCTCTCTCTCCCTCTCTCTCTCTCTCTCTCTCTGCACATCTGCAGCAGTCTGATCCCATCAGACAGCAGGAAGGTTCCCAGGTAATAAAAAGAGGCAGATAATTGTTGCCCCCCCTCACGCTGGGGGGGTGGGGAGTGTGGGAAAGCTAATCCTGCCCTGGACTCATGGCTTTGTGATGCTAAGTTGTGTCCTATAAATGGAGGAGGGGGCTCCTCGGGGTCCCATCACTGCTCTCCGACCTACCGATGGCTCCACAGCAGCAGAGACTCTCCCGTCTCACGGGCGTGCGCCGGAGACAGAACACAAAGTAAGTCCCGCCTGTCCTCCACTCAAGTCCTCTTGTGGTTTGTCTCTGTGGGATCTTCTAAACCAGGCGCGTACCCCCTCAACAGCTGAGGAAGCCGGCGGTGGAGAAGATGCGTAGAGATCGCATCAACAGCTGCATCGAGCAGCTCAAGGTGCTCCTGGAGGCGGACTTCCACAGGCGGGACCCCGACAACAAGCTGGAGAAGGCCGACGTCCTGGAGATGACGGTGGGCTTCCTGCGGCGGCATCTGACGCCGAGGGTCGAGCACACGGCGGCCCACGGCGACGGCTGCCCCCGCTGCTGGGAGGAGACGATGAGCCTCCTCTCCGCCGGCCCACCGGAGGGAGTGACGTCACCGCCGCCGCGCTTCTCCACGCAGGGTTGCGCGCGGGCCGCAGCGAAGCCGCCGCCGCCGCCGCCCGGTGCCGGCGGGCCGGTGTGGAGGCCCTGGTAGGACGCCGCGCATCGCGAAGGAAGAGACTTGAGCAGAGACGGTGTCTCCGTGGGGACGACGTCTTCGTTTTGACGGTTGCCAGGCCAACAAGCGGCTCGCTCGGATAAACGCTGCGTGAGGTCGTCATGGTGACAGCGCTCGACACCGCGCGTTGCCGTGGTTACCTGGAGTGACTGCACGTGAAAACAAACGTTTTTCCTGTGGAAAAGTAAACTTCTTTTTGTGAGGAGGAGTTTAAAAATAAACATTTTAATGTTATTGAAAAATAGATCTTAATGTTTTTTCTGTTTACTTTCGTTCTGTGGACGTTGTTAAATAGACCGTCAAACTGACCACGCGGGATTCCCTCTTTCCCGCACGAGATAAAGACCATTATTTGGTGGGTGTGTCCGTGTTTTAGGGGGGCGGAGACACCTGGTTCCATAAATACTTGATATTGTACGAGAATGTTTTTCTGTTTGAATGTAAAAACAACTTTATATTATTCTGGGTTTCATCTCATCAAAGAACTTTCAGCTCTTAGATGCATTTAGTTACGTCAGAAGAATGAATTTATACTTGTACTTCATTTGAGATGTTTCATTACAACAAGTTATAGACTACGTTAGACTTTTTACTCCACAGTACATTTATTTGACCTAAGTTACCTCGCAGTGTCATATTTAATGTCCAAGTGTATGACGATAGTCACTAGTATATTTATTTTAGTATTTAGCATTTCGTATGTATACATATATAATATACTATATATAGTATATTATATATGTATATATATTATATATAGTGTCATATTTAATGTTCAAGTGTATGATGATAGTCATTTAGTATACCTATTTTAGTATTTAGCATTTCGTATGTATATATTATATATAATATATTTTTAGTGTCTGAAAAAGCTCTGAGAGAAAACAAATGTCAGCTCACTGAATACTGACGATCACATCAAACAATATAATAATAATAACAATAATAATTT